GGCTGGTGCCACCAGGGGTCATTTTAAATATGCACTTCGACCCCACCAAGGGGGTCTCCAGGTCGGGGCTGGTGAGTCAGTGGATGCCCTGTATGCCGCTGCTGGCAAGGGGCGGGGCCAGTGCAGGACAAGCGCATCAGTGGCCACCATGCAGACCACCCCAGCCAAGGGCTGATTTAATTAGAAAGCACCCATTTTCTGTTAATTTGTTCTGGAAGATCTCCGCACACTCCTGGAGAGAACAGATGTTCCCTCTCCCCAATGAGCATTTGGGGCTTGGTAAATGGCTCCACTCAGCCTTGTTTAGGAGAGAAAAGAGGATTTTATGGCTGCAAACGACCCTTTCTGTAAACATTTTACAGCTCTCTGCGCGTTTGAGTGACGATAAACCCCACGCAGCTCGGCGGGCTGCAAATTTGCGACCATACGGCTATCATTTTATTGTCATATTTCACGGTCGTAACGTTAATGGAAGATGCTTGCTGCAGGCTTCTCTAACAGCCCCGCTGAGCACACTCGAGCCCTGCGTGGAGGGGCTGCCTCCTGGCCCCGTCCTCCTGGTGGAGCGCAGAGACACAGCCGGGCCTCCTCCCAGCCCGACCCAGGAGGAGCACCAGCTCCTCCCATCTGGGTGGCCCCTCAGCGGGGAGCAGCTGGGGACCCTGAGGCAGCCATCTCTTTATGTTTTTTTTTAAAGGTCAGGAACCCAACAGCCTGTCCCAGGACCAGAGGAGGCATGGGGTGCTGGAGGCCCTGCATGTAGCCTGGGTGGTCAGGAGAAAGACTTCAAGGCCATGCAGGATTTGGCCAAGAGGGCAGCGTGAGGGGCAGGTGTAGTCAGGTCTGGGGCAGTCTAGCAGGAAGCCCCCGTGGAGGGGCAGGCCAGTGGCATCTAGGCCTGCTGCTGCTGCTGCTGCTGGCCTGGCACCCAGCTCTGGTTCAGCTGAGGAGGGATGTCAGAAGGGACCTTGCAGGGGCACGTGGGTGTCATGCCTGTGGGCAGCAGTACCAGTCCACAGGCTGCTGTTACCCCTGAGAGGGTCCCTGACAGACCTGGAACATTGATGGGAGGGAGGAGAGGCTGATGCCCAGTGAGCATATACCTGCCTGGGATGTGCCCCTCCCTCCTCGGGCCCCTGCCCTGGAACCGTATCCTTCCCGCTCAGCCCCTGCCCCTGCCCAGCCCCTGCTGGCACCAACCCAGCTCTTCACGGGGAAGGCGTCGTGTGCCTGCGAGTGTGTGCGTCTGGCAGCCTTCTTCCCAGGTGTGAGCAGTGTGTGCCCTTGCGTTTCTGTGCACCTGGTATTTATAGCTCAGCCTGCAGAGTATTGTGGCTCCCACCTGTGAGCTAGCCACTGTGGAGGGACTGCCCAAGCCCAGGAAGGCCCCTGGACCTGCAGAGACCCAAAGACTCCTTCCCATCTTGATCCCTCAGGCAGAGGCTTGCCAGGGCTCTGCAGCAGCAGGCAGGCAGTGGGCAGGGACTGGGAGGCGGTGGCCTGGTCTTTAAAACCCTGTTGGGCAGGCCTGGGCTTATGAGGCCTCCCCTCTGCTGAGCCCTAACCAGAAATTTGGGGGATGGATGTGGTGGTCCCTCCTGGCCGGGGTTACCTAGCACCTGACCTTTGCCCTTTCTATGCAGGGAAGCCACTACACATCAAACCGCGTCTGTGAGGACCCCAGGGACCAGCCCACACCTACCTCAGACCTTCACCCCTGGAGAGGATAGAGTCTCTGTCCATCACTCTGCCCCCGCAGAGGAGCCACCTGCCACCAAGTCCCCCAGGGACCGCAGGGGCGCCACTCTGCCTGCCTGCCTCTCTGCCTTCTGCAGCCTGTGCGCCCAGGGCCTTGTCTTCCTCCTTGGGGCCAGCCCTGTGCAGCAGACAACCTGCCCTACCCTCCCTGCCCCTGGGCCTCAGTCCCGCACCCAGGACTTGCCCCCCACCCCCTGCCCCTTGGGGTGCTGTGTGGGCTTTACCCCCAGGCCTGTACCTCCCTGTGGGTAGGGCAGCAGCCCTGCGATGTATGTCCCTTGCCCTTCCCACCCGGGACCCCTGCCAGGGGAAGAGGCCATTGGCCAGGCCCCCCAGCAGGCATTTTATGTTCAGCAATAAAGGTTCTGTCCTGTGTCATTGGCTCATCCTGACTACCCCATGCCCACAGGGCCCTGGCTCTGAGGGAGATGGGCAACTAAAAAGCAGAGACCCCAGGTGGCCGAGAGGGTTGGAGGCAATCTCTCTCTGGATGCCCAGGTCAGCACAGCTTGGGGTCAGGAGGGGCGGGGTCAGGAGGGGCACTCTGGGGACATGGGTGGGAAAGGCTAGAGTCAAGGCAGGAGCAGAAGGAGGCTCAACCACCCAGAGAGGACTCAGTACAGGGTGAGGCTGGAGGGCACAGGGCTGTGGGGGGTATCTACCCTGCAGACTCTCCCAGAGCACCCCCCCCCCCCAGGGAGGCAGCTCAACAGTCCCGGGGTGATCATCCAGGACCTCAGACTTCTGCATAGGCCCCTCAACCTCTGACCACACCATGTCCACCAGACCTCTGCCCATGAAGTGGGCATCATGACACCAGCCTCAAAGGGGGCCAGGACCAAGGCTGACTGGTCCCTGTCCCCACCACGTGGGCCCTCTGCAGCTGTATCTGACAGGATAGCAGATGCTGGAACCTGGACTTGGCAGGAAGGACAGCCCCAGCCCCGTCCCAGCCGTGGCTGAAGAGAGCCCCTGCTGCTGACCTCTGGAGCCTGAGCCAAGAGGGCCTCCCAGTGGCCTCCAGATATACCTGGGGGCAATTGTTTGCAAGGCCCGTGTCCATGCCTGACCACACGCCACCCCTGGCCACCTTGCTAGGGTCCTTTCATGCCCACATGGCTTCATGGGGTGAGCAGATTGTTAGGTGGCTGCCTTTGAGCCTGCCTGCCTTGGCGGGCAGGGTCCAGGCTGGGGGCTAGCAAGGGACTGCAGGGTTGGGGCCTGCACAGCAGCAGCAGGCTCTGGCAACCAGGGCCAGACGGCCAGGGCATAGAGCCGCTTCCTGGGACAGTCTGGACGGACCCAGGAGATGGCAGAGGCGAGGGCACCCTCAGGCCACTCAGAAGTGCTACCCCTAACAGCACTGGTGGCTCTGGTCCCAGGTGGCCAGCCTGCAGGGCTGCCTCACCTGCTCCCACAGGCTCCCCACGGAGAGCAGGCCTTTGACAGCTTGCAGTCATCCCTGTCTCCCTGGGCCGAGGGGACACAGGTCTGGCCAGCCAGACGGAGAGCTGTAGTGGTTTGCGCACACCACCAGCAAAGTAGACTCAGGCTGGCGTTGCAGGTCAGACTCCCTGGAAACTTCTGGCTTCACAGGTGGACATGTGGGCACATTCCCAATCCTCGTGGTCATGCCCCCAGTGGGTCTCCACTGCAGTTGGGTCCTAGCAGCCCAGGAGACAGCCATATGGGCAACCATCACCCATTTGCCTGCCAGGAACCACAGGGAGACCCACCCCACAGGTCTGCTGTTGTAGCCCCAGTTCAACAAGCGCCGGACAGCCACACGGCCCACACAGGACCTGGGCATCACAAGGAGGTGGTGAGGTATGGTGCTGGCTTAGGCCCACTGCCCCTGCCCCTGGTGCTATCCACTGCCTGCAGCTGCTGGTTGAGGCCCAGGAAGATGTGGCACTGCCCTCCGGGAGTCTGCATTGAGTCCTGGTTCTCCACTGCTCTGGGATGCCATTGGGGGTCAGTGTAGCCGCGGGCCCTGCCTGATTACAGCCCCTGCGCTTCTTCCAAGCCCAGTGTGCCCATTGGTCACCCTGGGCACATGTCAATCATCAGGTGATAGAGACTGACCCAAGGACCCTGGAGGCCACTTGTCCCTGGCTCCATAGTGACCATGACTTTCATACTGCTTGGGGCCAGCAGAGACCTGGAGGTAGGTGGGGTCAGCCAAGCACCCACCCAGACTGGGGGTAGTAAAAATGACATTTAGGAGGGACCTGGGGCCAACTCTCCTAAGTCTCCCTTGGGTCTCTAGAGCAGGTCCCCATTCCGAGCCTCCTAGGACAGCTGAGGGCTGAGGGCTCCTGAGGCTGAGGCAGGGATACCTGCTGGTAGTACCAAAGCAGAGATGCGGGGGACATGGGACACAGGCTGCCTTATGTCGGGTGGGCAGCCAGCCTGTGGCCTATCTTCACACAGGCTTCCCTTCCAGTCCCAAGGAGGAACACAGGCAGACCCAGGTCCACACAAGCAGTAGCAGGTTGGTGGCCTGGGGACCAGCTGGATAGGGACCCTGCAGCAGAAACATGTGGGACCCCAAGGCTCTAAGTGACCTGGGCGGTCCTCAGACTGCTGGCAGGGCTCCACTGTCCAGCCCCCAGCCAGGTGTCTTCCCACCACAGCTGAGAGGAGGCCCTGGCTGTGGCATCCTCTCCGGGGAACTTCAGGGACGCCTCGAGGTGGTGGGGCAGAGTCAACTGGTAGAGGGAAGTGGGCCTGGGGGTATAGGCAAAATGTGACCCCCAGGTGTGGCTCTGCCGCCCCCCTGTGCCTGGAAGAGGTGGACTCACCTGGGGCTGGGAGGAGCCAGGAAGGATGTCCCCCTGGCCAGTTGGAGCCCCTTTCTGTTTCTGCACTGTCCTGGTTGGTCTTGCTGCTCCCTACCCGGTGTTCCCCAGGGCAGAGGGCACTTATGTCACTTGGCGCAGCACTCTGTCCCCAGGAGGGTGGGAAGCGTGGATATGTTCATGCCTGGGTGCATACCCCAGGAAGGTTCCTGGCATGCAACAGGTACCCCGTAAGTGCTGGGGCAGGACAAGGAGGCTGCCAGGCGGGGAGCAGCTGAGGCCACTTCCAGGAGGCCGGTCTTTGTGAGCTGGCTCTCTCGGCCCTGCCCTGAGGCCCCGC